TAAAAACAAAAACAACACAGTGTCTTAAATAAAAAACACAACACAGTTTTGGGAAAAGCATGGGTTTGAGATCCAAACCCACCATCCACTAGCTATGTAAGCTGGCATAATCAATTACCTAACCTCTCTTGTGCCTCCAGCTTGCATCTATAAAATGACCATAATAATGCTAACTTCTCAGGCAATGCTACATAGAGGCAGCTTGGATTTGAAGCCAAAAACTTGTGTCCTTACACAAATGTAATTATTTGAATGTGAAATGTCTCCCACAGGTTCGTATGTTTGAACGCTTGTCCTCAAGCGTTGGCACTGTTTGAAGAGGCTGTAGAATTCTTGGGAAGTGGGTCCTAGCTGAAGGAAGTGTTCCTGAGGGCCAGGCCTGAAGGGTTAGAGGCTGGGCACACTTCCAGCCGTGGCTGTCCGCTTCCTGACCTGTTCAGGTGTAACAGCTGTACCTGAGCTCCACCAACATCATCGGAGTCCCAAGCTACCCTGCCTGTCCCACCATGGAGGGCAGCATCCTCTTACACCATGAGCCAAAGAAACTCTTCCTCCCTTAAGTTGTCAAAGCGGCTGAGAGGGAGTGCACAGCACTTGTGAGGCCCTGGGTTCAAGCCTCAGCACCACATTCACACACAGACACACACAGACAGTCAGACACACACACACACACACACACACACATCTTTGGGTATTTTGAACCAACTGAAAACAGTTCGTCAACACTCTACTATAAAGAAAAGAAAAGGGAAGGGACTCTCTAAATGAAGCTCTGTGTGATTCCGTCTGTTTACACAGTGCCAACAACACTCATAAACTGCTACACAAGGAAGTACAGCCAGCCCGGGCCACCAAGGGACAGGTTGCTGATTAGAAATGACCTTTTTTACCATGCAGTTTTATAGGTGATCAAAAAAAAAAAAAAAAAAAGTAGCCTATCTTTAAGTAAATTTTGACCTTTTATTCACTGTGCATTTATTTGCAATACTTTTGATATTTTAAATATGTTATTGGGAGGGCTAGATGGTTCAGTGGGTAGAGGTGCCTTTTGCTAAGGCTGGTAACCTGAGTTTGGAACCCTCACAGTGGAAAGGAAAGAACTTGATGCCAGCAAGTAGTTCTCTTTGAATTCCACTAGCACATTGTGTTTGTGTATATATGCACGTGCATGCACACACACACACACACACACACACACACACATATAAATAAAAATAAACATATAAATTAATTACTTAAATGTAATTTTGTTTTGTTTTGTTTTTGAGACAGGGTTTCTCCGTGTAGTTTTGGTGCCTGTCCTGGATCTCACTCTGTAGACCAGGCTGGCCTCGAACTCACAGAGATCCACCTAGCTCTGCCTTCTGAGTCCTGGAATTAAAGGCATGTGCCACCGCCGCTGCCTGGCTTAAATGTAATTTTTTAAGTTAAAAACATGAGGCTGGAGAGATGGCTCAGCAGCTAAGGTCACTGGCTGCTCCTCCTGAGGACTCGGGTTTGATTGCTGGCACCCACATGGTGGCTTACAACTATCTCTAAGTCTCAGAAGATAGGACGCCCTCTTCTGGCCTCTGTGGACACTGCATTCACATGGTGCACAGAATACATTCAGGAAGACACTCATAGACATAAAATGTCCAAAATTTTAAAAACACTTATCTTGGTTTCTGAGTTTTGGTGTTCCCTCATCTTAGATGTTGTTTCTGGGGAATGTCACTCACTTTACCCAAAACCCCAGACTTCCAAGGTTGTTCTAAGAATTACAAATCCTTAGGAGGTTTCCAGAGCTTTGGCACAAGGTAGATGCTAAATAGTTACCAGCTGTTGGTGTGGGTGACAGACTGGGAAAATACTATTTACCACCTAGGGTTGTACAAAGACTTGAAATGATGCATCAAGGTGGGCTGGAATAAATCCTAATGTAATTAATTATAAATTTTCTAGGTTAGTTCTAAGCTTCATTTATTAGCACGCTTTTATGATTTTTAACAGTATCAATCGATTTACAAAATTGAATTCTACCATCTTATCCTTTGCATTATTATTATTATTATTATTATTTGTTTTTTTTCAAGACAGGGTTTCTCTGTGTAGCTTTGCGCCTTTCCTGGAACTCACTTGGTAGCCCAGGCTGGCCTTGAACTCACAGAGATCCCCTGGCTCTGCCTTCTGAGTGCTGGGATTAAAGGCCTGCGCCATGACCGCCCATAGGGGCTAGAGACATGGCTCAGCAGTTAAGAGCACTGGCTGCTCTTCCAGAGGACCAGGGTTCAATTCCCAGCACCTACATGGCAGCTCACAACTGTCTGTAACTCCAGTTCCAGTGGATCTGACTCCCTCACAGATACATGCAGGTCAAACACCATTGCACATAAAAATAAAAAGAAAAAGCCAGGCGTTGGTGGCGCACGCCTTTAATCCCAGCACTCGGGAGGCAGAGCCAGGCGGATCTCTGTGAGTTCGAGGCCAGCCTGGGCTACCAAGTGAGCTCCAGGAAAGGCGCAAAGCTACACAGAGAAACCCTGTCTCGAAAAACCAAAAAAAAAAAATAAAAAAATAAAAAAAAAATAATAAAAAAAAATAAAAAGAAAAATTTTAAAAAGAAAATATGTCTAAAAAAATCATTATTATTGCCTGTATGCATACACAAGCTCACACACAGGGAGGACTGAGCATTCCCCTTCCACCTTTCCATAGGTTAGGGGTTCCAACTCAGTTCCCAGGCTTGAACAGCAGATGATTTTACCCACTCGGCCATCTCATCAGGACTTCGTATTAATTTTAAAACATCTTTGGGCGTTTCTGAATTAGTTTAATGATTATTTTTCCTTTCCCTCTTTCTGGCACATGTATCTGTGTGTGGCATGTGTGTTTATGTGTATGCGTGTTCACATGTGTGTGGGTGCACATGTATGGGTGTGCTAGTGCATGCGGAGGCCAGAGGTTCACAGGTGTCATCCTCAATCACTCTCCACCTCATAAAGTGAGTCAGGGTCTGTAGTAGACTATTTTAAGGTGTGTTACTTTTGTTTATGTTGCATTTGTTTAACTCTGTGAGGCTGTGTTACTGTGCCTGTCTAAAACACCTGATGGTTTAATGAAGAACTGGCCAATAGCAAGGCAGGAGAGAGGATAGGCAGGGCTGGCAGACAGAGAATATAAATAGAATAACTGTGGGAAGAGGGTTATAGAGCTAGGAGCCAGAGAAGGAGGAGAACTCCAGGAGCCAGCCACCCGGCCACCCGGCCACCCGGCCACCCGGCCACCTAGCCACCCAGCCACCCAGCAAGCCACGGAGTAAGAACCAAAGGTATACAGGGATATAAAGGGGAAAGCCTAGAGGCAAAAGGTAGATGGGGTAATTTAAGCTAAGGAAAGCTAGCTGGAAACTAGGCCAAGCTAAGGCTGGACATTCATAATTAAGAATAAGCCTCCGTGTGTGATTTATTTGGGAACTGGATGGCCAGCCCTCCACAAACGAGTAAAAAACCACCATCAGCAAGGGTTTCTCACTGGAAACTAGAGCTCCCTGATTCAGCTAGTCCAGCCGGTCAGCTTGCTTGGGAATCCTGCTTCTGCCCAGAGTTCTGGGGTTGTAGGAGCGCCTCCATATGCCTTAGGCACTAACGTGGGTTCATGCTTTCCTGGCACGGGCTCTATAAACCATCTTTATAAAGATCACTTTTGTTGAAAATTAGTTGAATACTGGACCAGCAAGATGGTCCCAAAGATCACTTTTGTTGAAAATTAGTTGAATACTGGACCAGCAAGATGGCTTCGCGGGTAAAGGCACCTGATACCAAGCCTGACAACCTATGTTCTCTCCAGGACCACACAGCAGAAGGAGAGAATCAACTCCTACAAGCTGTTCTCTGACTTCCATATGTGCACTGTGGCTTGTGTGCCCACGCATATTGAATAAACAAACAAATGGGATAGAAAATGGTTTCATATTTGGAACCTTATCCAGTCCTGGAATAGAGACATTTCTGCTCCATCTAGTCTGCTTTTGAGGTTTCATTTTTAAAGTTGGTCTTGGGGTTGGAAATGTAACTCAGTAGTTGAGTGTTTGCCCAGTGTGTGTAAGGTCCTAGGTTTAAAACCTAGCACCATTCCCGCTGCCCGAACCAAAAGTTTTCCTTAGAATAAATCACCTGTAACACTTTTACGAGCCATAGATCTTGAGGGGTTACAGATCTAATATCTGCCCCAGACAGTGGTGGTGCAGACCTTTAATCCCAGCACAGAGGCAGGTGAATCTCTGAGTTTAAGGCCAGCCTAGTCTACAAGAGTTCCAGGACAGCCGAGGCTACACAGAGAAACCGTGTCTCGAAGAACAAGCAAGTAAACAAAAGCTGTGTCAGAATTCACAGTCACAAGCTTTGTGTGAAAAGGAAGTAGGTTCCTTGTCTGAGAGTTTATTCACTTCATTTTGTTAGCTCACTATGGAGATTAAGATTTTCGTTTTGCTTTTATTACCTTTTTTTTTTGTATTGGAAATTGAACCCGGAACCTCATATGTGCTAGGCATGTGTCCTATAACTGAACTATGTCCTCAGCCTGGCAATGAACAATTTTGAAGTTATAAGTATACCATGCAGCATTGTAAGAAATTTATGTATATAAAATTATGGAGTTTTTCCTTAATAATGATTTAAATACACCTAAATACATGAAAGTACAACAATTTATCCTTGCTAAAAATATGAAAAGAAAAAAATGATAAAAACCTATGCCTTAAGCATCATAAAACAAATATTTACATTTTCCAAAAATGTTATTTAATTTCTTAGTAATAACACAATTTAGCTATGACACAAATTACCATATCTTTTTCAAGTTAATTCAAAGAAATAACAGTTGACAATTCCTCTATAATTGAGGGGGAAAATTTAATATAAGAACGTTCATTTTACCCATAGCTCCTGGCCTCAAAAATGCTCACATAGAACTTTGAAAGTCCATTAATATTTTTTAAAAGCATTGGCTAAATGACCTACCTGATTTCGCCAAGCACAACAAACTGATAAGAAAGCACAGCCTCAGCATAGGGACTCTCAAAAAATCATGTGTCCCAAACACAAGGATGTGGCCCATTCAGCAGAGCCTGGCAGAATCCGGCTTTCTCCCCAAGAGCTCTCTCGGCTAATCCCCAGTCGTGACAGCAGGAAGTCCCTGAGGGAGGGGCCGCAACCTTGCCAGTCCTGTCAGGATCTTTTAGCTCCTCCTCGTCGCAATAAAAGGTCTGGGATTTTCTGCTTGCACAATGAGTGCATATGTTAATGTTTCATTTGCATTTGAAGGATGACGGGGTAAAAGTTTCATTCTCCGTGGGCGGTTTACTAGCTGTTTGGCTTGGTGTGTTGAAATCAACCTAATTTGAGATCCTTCTCCCTTGTGAATGAAATGATAAATCCGGTCAGTATTCTCCCTGACTGTGTATACAAACCACTTTCTATGTTAATTCACATGTACACTTTCCACAGAACAGTCTTTATACTTTTATTAATAACATTTCTTTAAATTAAGTTATATGGCTGTGTTTACAAATGTATCCATGCCTCAGATTAAAGACCTCTTGTACTTAACCTTATTTTTACTGCTTTCTATCCAGAGTCCTTGTCTCCTTTAAAGCTGACTTTTTGCGTTTATATCTTATCTATTTTTAAAATTTATTTAATTTAATTTTTTTTTTCGAGACAGGGTTTTTCTGTGTAACAACAGCCCTAGCTTTCTTGGAACTAGCTCTGTAGACCAGGCTGGCCTCAAACTCACAGAGATCTACCTGCCTCTGCCTTCCAAGTGCTGGGATTAAAGACGCTCACCATCACTGCCTGGCTATATTTTATTTATTTATTGGGGGTAGGCAGGTGAGTGTGTTGTGGTCCCTGTCCTCCCCAGTAGAGGTCAGAGGACAACATGCTTGGTCCTCTCTTTGCATCTGGAAATCTTGGAGATGGAGCTCACCCTCTCCTCACACCTGGGGGCAAGAAGGAATATCTACCCCTATGCAGTCTCACCCACCCAATTCTCTTTAAAGAAAACGATGGGATGGATCTACATCTTTCTAATGTCTGCACTAGAAGTAACTAACCCTGCACTAGGAGGAGACTGTGGGTGAGGGGGGTTCAGTGTACCTAGCCGGTGGGTGAGCAGGCCCTGGAGTAGATGAGGAGGTGGATCACTAAGGACAGGTACACAGCAAAGTGACGTAATCCTCTTTCTACTGAAAAGTCTTCAAACATCAAGCTTCTGGTTAGTTTGTAAGCTTAGAAATGATAAGGGGGAAAAGAAACACCCCACCCTTTCATCCACACATCAGGCAAAACCATTAGTTGTTTAGTCTGAGTATCTATGTGAAGTGCTTCTTGACTTAGGTATGGTGGCACATGCCTGGAATCCCCATTCTCAGGGGGCTGGGGCTGAGGCTGGAGGATTGCAGGCTTGGAACCAGGCTGGGCTCCATACCAAGATCCTGCTCAAACAACAGGGCAGCGAGGTGGGGGTAGGGAGGGTGGGGAGGTGGGGATGGGTCGTGGGGAGGGTGGCCACCGACACGGCATATCACCCCTCATCTATGTTTACGGAGTCTCTGCATTTAACCATCCACTGGCAGCAGCAGATCTCCTCGCAGCCGCTGTCCAGGGAATCAGTTCACAACCACCTAGGAGGCTTTTTATCAGTACAGAGGGGCATGCATGGTAAGAAGGCTAGGCAAGGCCATACTGAGTTCAAGGGTCAGCCTGAGTTCCATAGCAAGACCCTCTTCAAACGGAAAACAGAAAGCATGTGTCCATTTCTGCATCATGCCTGAGACCTAATGAACGCGAAGGCTGCTGGCGCTGGTCCCCTAATCTGAGTTCAGATCCCTTGTCTTCCTCTCACTATGTGTGTGGCCTCAATAAATAAAACATTTAAGTTCTGTATGTCTCAACTTTCTCAATGAAAGCAAAGATAAGATCAGGCACAGGGTTATTACACAGATTAAATGAGGTAGTGCAGCTGAGTCCTCCACACCGTGCCTACCGCCAAGGTTAATTGTTCCCACCATTGGTAACTTCATTTACTATCTTCCTGGCCATGCGGCTGGCACGGTCCCCTCCCTCTGAAGGCTGCAGAGTTGAGAAGGGGCCTTTAAGATGGACTTGAGGAATGGGGACCTCCTTCAAGTCCTTTCGTGAACACTGTAGGAACACACCCCAGTGTGTTTTGCTATTGTGTCCTGTTTGGGAACGAATTAAGGAACTGTCCTTAGGAAACTCCAATGGACAGCTGCCAGCTTTTCTACTTTGCACTTGCTCTGAGCCTTGCTCATTTGAAAACAGAGAATTGCTCTGTCTCTTTAAGGAACCCGCCCTGGAATGTGCCCCTCCCTGCTGGGTAAGTGTAGTTACCTGATAAATATTTGTTGAGTTCCTATCAGTTTTGAGTGCTTATCTGGACTTAGCCAATGTGCTTTTTTTTAGGGGGAAACTAGCCAGTCATATAGGGATAAGGGCCATCCTGCTGAGCTGCCCTCTGTTATTAATGGTTAGGACACAGAAGGTCCCCTAACTTCCTGTCTGGGGGCTCAGTTTTCCTTCCACCATTCAAAATAGCAAAGAACCAATGGAGGAATGTGTTTTTTCTTTTTTAGATGAATAAAAATGTTGACACTGTAATAAGACATATCAACTGTATAATTGGAAAACAAAACACTCCAAAGGTCGGGGAGAGGAGAGTAGGTGTGAGTGTAACAAGGAGTCTTTTTTTTTTGTTTTTTGTTTTTTTTTTGAGACAGGGTTTCTCTGTGTAGCTTTGCACCTTTCCTGGATCTCACTTGGTAGCCCAGGCTGGCCTGGAACTCACAGAGATCTGCCTGCCTCTGCCTCCCAAGTGCTGGGATTAAAGGCGTGAGCCACCACCACCCGGCTCTGTGGCTGGGGATGGGATCCAGGGCCTTGGGCTCCTTAAGTGAGAGCTCTTTGGCTGACCTAGCCCCACAAGGGATCCTTTCATGGTGGAACACTTCTGCACTTTAGTTGTAGGAGTGATTACAGAAAGCCATGCAGTGAGATTGCAGAGAAACACACACGTGAGCACACATGTGCATGCCATGCTGACAGAGTCTAAATTAGGTCTCTGGGCTGTGCCAATGTCCACGTCCTGGTTTTGATAGGACCTTATTACTTAGGTAAGATGTGCTGATGGGAAACTGGGTGGACACACAAGGACCTTCTTCCATTGTTTTGCCACTTCCTACCAACCAACAATTATTTCAAAGTAAAATGTGCTTTTAAAACTTACAAAAGTGGGTCAACTCTTACACTCATTGAAAGAACATTAATCTAAAGGTATTCTAAGGAAGCCCTGTCTTTATCTCCATTAGCTAATCAAGATTCTCTCAGTCTGATGGCCCTAATAAGGGACCACAACTCACAGATATCACTGTCTCCTCAGTCCAACCTATCATCATCATCATCACCATCATCACTTAGTGTAGTCTTCTGAGACAGTCTCACATAGCCCATGCTGGCTTCAAACTTGCTATGAAGCCAAAGCTGGCACTAAACTCCTGACCCGTCTGCCTCAGCCTCCCAGTTGCTGGGACTATTCATGAATCACCTCGTCTGCCTCATCTGCCTCTCCAATCTAGGGTATATATTATGTGTTTGCTTTCTTCCCCCCTGATTTTCCCACTCACCACAGAGAGCAGAGTAGAAAGTGGCAAACCAGCTTCTACCATGTGGACCGGAAAGGCAGGTATGGAGGCGTGATGGAACCTGGGAGAGGTAGTTTTGTTATTCTCTTTTTTGACAACCAGAAAAGGTGGCCTGTGTCCCCACCCATCCTGGTCTAGGGCCATGCTGTCCTATGACTCACTGTGACACCCTTTGGTCAGCCTGCTTGTCTCTCAAGTTCAGAAAGATGAGTCAGTCTCTCAACTCATATCCAGCAAAGAGATTAGATTTCTACTCCCCAAACCATACATCCACGCCCCCCCCCCACACACACACTTCTTCCTTTAAATAGTTCTCAGTTCTGGGGCTTTTTTGGTTTGTTTTTTCCTCCAGTTTTGTTTTGTTTGCTGAGCCAGGCCCCCTGGACAATTTTCAGTTCAATTTAATTTCGTTTTTTTTTTTTTTGTTTTTTTTTTTAACTTTTTATTCTTTGTGAGTTTCCCATCATGCATCTTGGTCCTTCTCGTCGACCCGTGCCCTGGATTCTGCCCTCTGCCCTTGTGACCTCCCCCCAAAACAAAATTTAAAAGTAAAAACAAAAAATAAAACAAACTCTCAGCTTGGAAGCTGTAATGTGACACAGTGAGAGGAACTGATACCCTTTAGTCCATTCATCTTTACTTGTAAGGGTTCATTGCAATGAGTCATTGGATGGTTCCAGGCCTCTGGCTTCTCACTGGGCCCTCACTGGGGCTCCTCTTGGACATCCTGTTGTTGCCCTGTGTCATGGAGGTCCTGCAGCTCTGGATCCGGCTCCTTCACACGCTCCAGTTCTAGATGAGGTGGATGTTGGGGTGGGCCAACTCACAGCCCTGGGCTGGATTGGTCATCCTGCCAGCTTTCCCTCATTGTTACCACCTGGGGGAGCTCTCCAGCACTGCCCCCCCTATTCTCCCCCACCCATCACCCTCCCAGGTGTGGCCCAGATTCTGGGTATCTGAATGGCCTTTGATGGCAGCAGGGGCCTCGGACATCCGCACACACCCTGGCTGCGGCAGGGCCGTGTTGTTTATTTTTGCCGTGCTGCAGACTGAACTCAGGACTTTGAACTTGCTGAGCAGGCATTCCACCACTGAGTACCTCCTCTGCCTTCTTTCTTTTCCTTCCTTCCTTCCTTCCTTCCTTCCTTCCTTCCTTCCTTCCTTCCTTCCTTCCTTCCTCCCTCCCTCCCTCCCTCCCTCCTTCCTCCCTCCCTTCCTTTCTGTACAGGGAAATTGAACGTAGGCCCTGGCGATCCCAGGACACTGCCGCGCCAATGAGCTAGACTCTCAACGATTTTCAAATTTTATTTTGAGACACAGTCTCACTAAGGTTCAATGGCTGGAGGCTGGGGAGATGGCTCAGTCAATGAACTGATGCCACATGAACGTAGAGACTTAAGATCAGATCCCTAGCAAAAGTCCCACAACCCACACAAGAAGCAGGGTGTGGTGGTACCTGTAATCCCAGCAGGAGATGGGGAGACAGGAGGGTGCCTGGGGCTTGCCAGCCAATCTAGCCCTAGGTTCTCCGGGAGACCTTGTCTCATAGAAGTACATATAT